GAGAAGAAAACTCCTCTGTCTCAGGTAGCTCTGAGTGTTCCCCCCAGGGAAGAAAACTCTTCTGTCTCAGGTAGCTCTTCCCATGACGTTTGGACAGACCTTCTGACTCACTTTGACATCTCAGCACTGCTGAGGAAACATTTCCCTTTCTAGGGAAAACACTTTTGTTGAGCTATTTATATCTTCAGAAGGTGAAACAAAAGCCATGCCATGGGAGAGGAAACCACAGGGAGCAGCCCTGTATAATCCTCTGGTTCAGCAAGGCTGAAGTGGTTTGTGTCAGTCCTTCACAGGGGTGATGTTTAACCCTCGGGCTGTGACTGTTTTCCTCCTCTGAGAGGTTTGCTGACCCCACTGAAAAGGTCAGGCAGGTGTTGACTCAGCCTTGGGGATAAGCACAACCCCAGGCAGTGATATTTTTTTTTTCAACTACTCTTCTTTCTCTATTGAAAATGGGGGATAGGAGGTTGAGGTTTTACCTTCTTCATGTCATCACTATGTGACATCTCCACAGTTGTGTCTGAAATGGGCCCTGTTTGGGAGGAATTCTTCCCCTGGCTCCAGCAAGGAGCTTGGTCCCTCAGTTCCTCTTGGGAAACTTGAGTGCTTTTCTAGGATCCCCCCTCAGACTTCTGGGGGGCTGGCAATGTAACTCAGTTGATATCAAACCCACTTTTCCTGGAGAAGTTTGAGCAGACCAAGGCCAGTGCAAAATATATTGTAGAAAAGAATTCGTAAAAAAGAATCCAGCAATATTTATTTAATATTTTAATTAAGTTCCAGTTTCTATCCAAGGGTGGTAACAGGAAATTAGTAAAACCATTCATCTACTACATAGCAAATAGATCCTTCTCAGTATTAAAATATAAGAGTTTAAAATATGAATAAATAAATATATAAACTAATTGCTTAAATAGATTTATAAAAATAGATGTGTTGTATAAATTCATAAATAAAATTCCCTAGTAGAGAGAGAAGTACAAGATCAGCCTGCTGACAATCAACTTTTCTTTTGAAAAACAACTGCAAGATAAAAATATAAATAACATTAAAATTACTGAAAATATACTTCGTTTATATATGTCAGGACTAGTTAATTAAATTACCTTGACTCACGTTAGTCCATCCTTATTATATGCTGTTGCAAATAAGACAATATAAATAGTTTTATAATAAATACATTCAATAACACATTCATCCTTTAAATATTAAATTAAACTGGATTATATAGTTAGAGAGAATAGCAAGTATATTATCAATGTCATCAAACTGATCCCATAACCCCTGGTAGGTCTCATTTCCAGAGACCTCTCTTCAAGTTATTTTTTCATCCTGGCACATCAAGCTGCTGCTGTGGAGTACAGCTTTCCCGTGAGCTGCATGATGTCCTCGTATTTCTTTAGCACCCACCAGATGTAGGTTTTTGTGTCTGCCTGGCTCATGCTGTGGCCCTGGGGCTGCAGCTGGGGCAGGTGCTGGCTGCTGCAGGTGTAGAAGGCAGTGCCCTGGCTCAGTGTGGTGCCCAGCTGGTTGAGGTTGGCCTGGAGCAGACCCTTGGAGCTCTCGGTGCAGAAGGTTTCTATGTCACCTCCCAGGCTTTTCAGAGCGTCCTGGATGTGGTGCAAAGCACAGCAGTTTGCCTGGAAGGCTGGACAGGTGGGTATTCTGTCTGCCATGTCTCTGGCCTTGGACTCAACTGTCCAGGGCTCAGGGTGGAATGTTGCAGAGATACATTTGTTCTGTGGGGAAGGAAGAGGAGAGAGAAATTGTTAAATTGTTGATCCTTTGGTTTCCCTTTCTCATTTGCGTACCCCTTTGTGGGGGTTTTGGTTGTGTTTCAATCTTGTATTAACCCCTCCATCCCTCTGATAAAGCAGGCATTGCACAGAGTTTGCAGATTCCTGTGCATTGCTTGCCTTGGGTCTCAGTTTTTCAAACCTTGGGTTCTATTTTTTGCTGTAGGGGCAAAGTTTACCTATTCCAGAGATCTGGTTTGGCCTTTGTGAGTTTCCATCGGTTTTGGCAGAGGTGGTTTTGATTTCAAAAATGAATTCAGAGGAAATGTCAATGTTGATTTTTATCAACATATTCTTGGGAACACAGTCCCAGGAACTGAACTTTGTCTGAGGCATTAGCACCTGGGTTCAGTGAATGTGTTTCCTTTCTAAGGAAAGGATAGGTGAGCAGGATTTTTGGCAGAAGTGCTCAAGCACTAGCATCAGACTGAAGGGCAAAGCAATTCTCACCACATTTCCAGTGATCTGACTAAATTCCTGCAAGAAGATGCCCAGGGGACTCAAGAGACTGAGAAGGAGCACTGGGAATCAGGAAGATCCCAGCAGGCAATGACCTGAGGCAGTCACCCAAGGTCTCTGCAGTTGCCCTTGCTCCAACTGCCCTGAAATAACACAATAACACTTTCCTTCTTGCATGGAATGCAGAGAACAGCTGCTTTAGGTTTTAACCCAAATACTTCTTTTCTGGTAGCCTTTCTAATGTTTTCTAATAATTCAAGAAAACATTAGACAGACATAGGCACAGCACATGGAAAATGGTGCACTTACATAGAATTCAAACAACTCGTGTGCTTTCTGTTGTATTACTGATGCATAGGTTGGTATCTCTGTAGTGAAATGATTCTGCTTCTGGCCTGTAGTCACTCTTCTTTCTGATGTCTCTGTCGGTGCCATGGAGCCCAAAGGAACCAGCAAACAGAAGAGGAAGATTGCAAACCTGTTGATCTCTGCATTCAGATGAAGAGAGGAAACCAAAAAGAAAGAGAGAACACAATGATTAGTCTCAATCTTCTGCATAGCTTTTTGCAAATTTTTTTTAATAGTTTTGTGCAAGGTGATACATTTTTAAAGCATACAGGCATGAAGTGGCTGAGCTAGAGATGAGCATCAGCCAGGACAACCTTACAGCCTGCAGCAAGGGTAAGTCACACCCACCTGCTCTGCATTCCATGGCGGGATGGGACAGCAGTGGCTTGGCTGGGAGCTGGCCTTGGAGCTGGTTCTGGAGCTTCTGCCTGCCTGGAGTGCTGTGGATGGGGCCAGCCAGGCTGCATTTAAGTGCTCTGGAGTCCTGCGTCAGTGGCTCCCCCACAGTATTTTTTTTTTTTTTTGCCAGTGATAATTTGGGGTTTTTTTTCTTTTTTGAAAGATTACATCAAAAGTTGATTCAAATGTGTCTTCACTGATTGTGATCTACGTGCACAGTTTCAAACTGACATAGAGGGTGTCCTGTGTCATCTCTTTGAGCTTGCCTTGGCCATCCCATCTGAATCCTCGGGCTCTCCAAAGTGTGGGATTTAGAACATAAACTCTTGTTTTATTTATAAAGGTGGCTGGAAGTATGGTATTGCTGCCCAAAGCCATTGCTTCTCCTGCAGAGTCAGTGTAAGAGTGGGCCAATGAAAAACATTGTGTGCAAGGTAGGTCAGGCCTCCAGTTCCATGTATAAATCCTTCTGCTGGATGCCTGTAAGACCCTGTTCCCAAGGAATGCTCAGGATCCCCCCTTCCCATCCCTGTTGCCCATCTCTCCAGCTCCCCTGAGGTTGTTTTCTGCTTCTGGTAACCAAATGCAGGAAATTCTCATACACACCAAAATAGTAGGTGCTAAGTAATGCCAAGGAAGAGATGAGTTACCATGGCCTATGGAAAGGACACTTCTGGCAGACACTTCTTTATTTGTGGGTTTCATTATTATTTGGTGGGAAAATGGAGACAGAGAGAGAGAGATGTTTCTTTGTGCGTGGTGTTCTTTAGGAATGTCCCTACAAAGGCAGTGGTGGGTACAGACGGCTCCTTTCAGGCAGAAGGGTGATCTTGGAAGGTTTCTTTGGAAGCACCCAACCTGCAGAGATGCAGGAGATCAGTGGCCCACAGATCTGTGGAAGGTGCAGGAGCTTTTACATAAAAGATGCCACTGGGCACTGCCAGCCCCCTTCCAGCTGTCCCAGATGGGCACAGCCATGGAGTACTGGGATCTGGTCTTCCCCCAAGAGCAGGAGTATCTCTTTGTGCAGCACTGAAAGCAATGGGGCCAAGTTAATTTAAATAGTGATGCAAATAAAAGAAGCAGAATTTTTACAGCTTCGCTGTTCCACAAACAGAATTCAACCACTGGTAATTTTCTTTCAAAGACTTTCAGAAGATTTTACTTCATTTTCTCCTAAGGACAGCACTTTACCTGGTTATTCCACTCCAGGACATGCTGTTATCTCATAGCCTGTACATGCTGTACACCTCCTTTCCGGTCTGTACGGGGCTGTGATAAGCTGCTGAGCTGATAAGGGAGCAGGTCAGCATCCGTCCTGTAAAACCCAACCTGAGAAGTTCAGCTTTCCACCACGTAACCATCAGACATCACAGGGCAGCTGCAATTCATCTGGTGAAGTTCTGCTGACACGCTGCTCTGTCAGCCCTCTAAAATGGAATTTGTGGCCATTGCCGCAACACCTATCGCTGGAAAAAGGAAATCAATCTCTGCCTGTGGAGACCTGATGCTGACCTGAGACATAGCTGTGCCTTTTGTTCCTTGAGCTCACCTACTTTTTCCAAGTGTGGGAGCTGGTATTTTCAGCCATGAGCTTGTTTTTTGGCCTTAGATGGGTGTGTGGCAGTGCCCTCCACGTAAAGGGGAGAGCTGGGCTTTTGGAGCTGGCTGAGTTCTTCTACTTCCTCCCTGAAGCCTGAGTGACATTCAGGACACAGATAAGGGAAATGGCAAATTCCATGCCACAGGTGCCCAGCCAGGCAAGAATGCTGATGCTGCACCCTACAAGTGCAGCATGTGGCCACCTGCCCTTTCCCTGGGGGGAAGCAGCCCTCAGAACCCAGTGGGAACCAGAAAACCAGGGATGTATTCCCAGCTGGGCGAGCTTGGTGCTTTTCCAGACCTGCTCCACCTCTGCTTGGAGAGTTTGGTTCCATGGCAGCATCTCCTAGCAACAGGGACACAGAGCCAGGGGATTCCCTGCCGGGCTGGGGCTGCATGGCAGCACCCGGCAGCGTCTCGGCTGCTTTTCAGGAGTACCTGCAGCACCTGGGGCTGCAGGACTTCCCCTGTGGCCTTGGCAGCTGGGTAGGGCTCTGGGGGGCACAGCTGTGGGATGTGGCACAGGGCTGCCATTGCCTCTCCTCTCTCCCTGTTCTCCACAGAACAAATCCCGCTGCAATGCCCGCAGGAGCTCCCGGGCACAGCCAGCGGGGCTGGAGGAGGCTGTGCCACCAGGAGAGGAGAGCCCTGAGGTGCTGCTGGAGCTGCTGAGAGACCAGCACAGCCCCTGGGCACTGCCCTCTGACTGCAGCCCCCAGGCCCAGCGCCTGAGGGAAGTGGTTGTGCTGGCACCCGAGCTCCTCCGTGGCTCCAGAGTCTCCCAGCTTGTCAAGTCCCTGCGGATACTCGACAAGGGGGTAAGTGCAGCTGCTGGTGCCCATAAAGCTGTGTCTTCCTGCTGTCAGGGAAAACGTGCTGGGAAAAGGGCACCATCCATCCCATGGTCGGTGCTGCAGCTAGAGTAGAGCTTCTCCCCACAGCCTCCCCAGGATGTTGTGCTAACCCATGTCACACAGATGTGTGTCCATGTCACCCTGGCCACAAGGTGCCTCAAGGACAAGTTGGCCAAACCCAGCTCTTTGCAGGTGGAGGAGGTGGATGAAGGTCTGCTGCAGTTCCAGCAGCTGGAGGAGCTCATCCTCAGTGCCAACCACATCAGCAGGGTAACCTCAGCCCATCTGCCCCGGACTCTGAAGGTGAGTGAGCAGGATGGGACAGGAATTCCCATGTGGAAACACAGGGAAAGACAGACAGCTCAAGGGGGTGCCAGGAACAGCTAATTTCCAAGGTGTTTGTTGTTCCTTCTGTCCTGGGCAGGTGCTGGAGCTCTGCTACAATGATGTGGGTGATCTGCAGGACCTGTGTGCTCAGCCACCCCCGGAGCTCCAGCACTTGGGGCTGGGCTACAACCAGCTGTGTGGCCCTTCCCAGGAAAAGCACCTCACTGTGGATTTCTGGTAATGCCACAGGCTGAATGTAGGTTCCTGAAAGGGAAATGAGCAGATGTGAACAGCTGACCTCAAGCCATGGAGGTGGCCCTTTTTGGGAAAATACAGAAGGGAAAATTTTGGGAAAATTCAGAAGGGTTGTTTCTTTGCTCTGTGTCTACTCTCTGTGTGGAGTAGTCTGTCTCTGCTGTCTTCTGTCTCATGCCCAGAGGTTGTTTTGGTCCTTAGCAAGGTGTGGAATGGGGAGATCACCAGGGAAATTGCCCTGACACCCTGCCCATCCCAGTTCCATTTCCCTGGACAGTTTACTTTTTCCGTGTCCTTCCCAAAGCCACTGCTGGAATTTTGTGAGCATCTGAAGCATAGACTGCATCACCAAATGGTGCAGGGGTCATCAATGGATGCTAAAGAAATGTTTTTGTGTTGTGGGGCAAACTGGCAATGGCTCAGGAACTGGAATTGGCCTCCAGATTGGAATCCTCAGTTCAACCCAGTTTGTGCAGGGCAAATATGATTATTGTTTCTGTTTTTGCTCCAGGGCTGTAGCTTTCTATCCTCAAATAGGTGCTGGCTGCCTTACATGCTTCCCTGGGTTCTCTCCTTAGGCCAAACCTTGTCTCCCTTGACCTGAGCTTTAACAGCCTCACAGACCTGCTGGGGCTGGTCTCCCAGCTGACCACCCTGCAGAACCTCCGCATCCTGCTGCTCCAGGGGAACCCACTGGCTCTCATCCCCCCTTACAGAGGCTTCCTCGTGGACAGCCTGCCCAAGCTGTCCATCCTCGATGACATCTACATATGGCCTGAAGAGAGGCAGCAGTTCCAGGGGCTGGCAGGGCAGCCAGGTGAGCCCTGCCTTTGAGGCTGCCCGTGCTGACCCTGTGATTCAGGAGTGGGGTTTGCATTGTGGTTGTGTCATTACAAGTGAGGTAGTTTCTGACTTAGGCCCAAGAACAACCAACCCCAGTCCCAGCACTGCCTCAGTGTCCTGGCCTGCCTCAGCTTTTCTTTCCAGACACCATCTGGTTTCAGATCATGCATTTCCCTCCCGAGCTGTGGCAGGAGGAACATCAGTACTGGGGGAGGTTCTCACATGGGGCTGCACACAGCAGTGCCACCTCTGGGGCACATCCCTGACTGGGATGAGAGCAGGAGGCTGGGGACACCCGGGGTGGGAAACCTCTCTTGATGGCCCCTACTCAATGAGTTTGTGTGCTGGATGTGCTTGTTGGAGATTCAAACGTTGAAGGAGCAGAGCAGCCGAGGCACGAGGTGTTTGCATGGCTTTTAGTGACGCCACGTGGCAGTGGTTTGTCACAGCATTTGCACAGCTGGCACCCAGGGATGCCAGCAGGTGGGACATGGGACCTGGAGGTTTCTGCTTGCTCTGTTCCTTTGTCTCTCTGGAAGGGAAGTGCTGCAGGTTCATGGCAGGATTCTCTTCCTTTCAGAGCTGATCAGGAGTGAAGCACGACTGGTTGTGAGCATTGGGGAGATGAAGGGACTCCCTAATCCCGAAGATTTTCAGCAGCTGGAAGTTGCCTGTGAGGGTCCAGTGATCACCTGCAGCTACTGTGTGACCTACCAGTTTGCAGAGGGAGAGGAGCTGGAGGACAGGGGCAGTCCTGAGGTTGGTGCTTGATTGTGCTCCTGGAAACAAGCAGCATGGCAGGTCACAGCAGGGGGAATTGCATCTCCAGGCTATGGGGTGATGGGCCTAGCGTGGGGAGCAGCAGTGTTGGGGACAGAATTCCCATGTGGCTGCATCCAGCAGGACAAGCCCACATTCCACATTCCTCCTGCCCAGAGCTCTGCATGTGAGAGGGAACTCACAGTCCCCCTCCTGCTGACTGTGGCAGACCCTTTCCCTGGCACTGAAGTCCCTTCTTCCCATGAGGGTGGGCTGGGGAATAGGATTTTGGAGGCAAATCCATCTCTGTTCCAGGGAACAGAAATCCACCAGAGTCCCACAGTGGGCACACTGGATGTGGACAGCTCTGCTCAGGACACAGGAGAGACAAAGAGCCAACAGGAGCCTGCAGCCACAGAGGAGCCCAAGGCCCACTCTGGTAATGAGGAATTACAGATCTTCTGTTCCATGTCTCAGGGCAGGTTTATGGCTCTTTGTGGGGTGTGGTGGCACCAGGATGTCCCTCGCAGTGCCAGAGTGCCAGCTGGGCTGCTCCTGGGACTGATGGACAATGACCTGGCACCAGCTGTGTCCTGGAGGTCCTTCTGTGCTGGGGAAAGATCTCCTCTAAGCTTTTTTTGTGTCCCTACACAGCAAAGGTTTTTGCCACCTCTGCACAGCCCTGGGCAGACACCATCGACTGCAGCTACAGGAAGGAACACATTGCCAAGGACTTGGTGGGGCTGAAGTCCTACCTGGAGGCTGGAACCATTGTCTCAGTTGTGGAGGAGAAGGTGAGGGTGTGGCTGAGCTGGATGAAGGGGGAAGAGCTGCTGGGAGGCCCAGCCAGTGGCATCACAATCCCTCTGGGAGGCAGGCTGGGATGGCAGTGACCCTGGGCCAGCTCCTCTCTCCGGGCAGGTGCTCTCGTGGCCTGTGGATCCAGATGAAAGCCCTGTCACAAGTAAGGAAGGACAGGAGCTGAAGAAGAACGGTGCAAAGGTAGGCTGCCAGGAGAGAACAACGACCAAATTCTATCTCAGTTGCAAAAACAGTGATGGGAGAACAAGGACCCTTCTGCTGGGCCAGTCTGGTGTGTCAGAGAGTCAGACCTCTCCCAAAGTCCCCCCTTTCTGTGGGGGGAAGGCAGCAGCTGTTGGCACACACCTTGGCCAGGATGCAGTGGTGGGCAAGGGGCTGGGTTGGGGTTGCTTCTCTTTGATAAAGGGACCCCAACCTTCTGCTGAGGCCTGTCCCCATGTCCAAGGACAAGCAGAAAAAGAAGAAGAAGAAGAAGTCCTGTGAATACCGCAGTGACCCTCCCATTTGGAGCACCCTGGCCACCACGAGGGTGACCTTGGAGACCCTGCTGGCCACCGAGAGCCTGGTGGCAACTGTGTGTGACTTTGGGATCTTGATCCCTGAGAAACCACCAGCATCACCAGTTCTGGATGAGAAGGTAAAGAGCAGGTCCCAGGGCAGGGCTGCAGGCTGGGGTTCAGCAAATGCCTTCTCTGGCCTGGGCATCCATCCCTCCATCCCTCCATCCCTCCCTCCGTTCTTCTCTCCCCAAAATGGGGCTGAAATAGCCCTGCCTGACCACCATCCATCGTTGCTGGTGTGGTTATTTAAGGCTGGTATTAGTGAGCAGTTCTGCTACTTTTTCTGGGCCTAGGAAAATAGATGAGTTTATTTTTCCATTCCAGAATGTGTAAGCAGCCACTCGTGCTTCCTCTGGTGCTCTCTCTCAGCATGGCAGCACATGCCAGCTGTACCAACTTTCTGTTTCCTGGATTCTCTTCTCTGAGCAGCCACCCTGCTGTGCTCCTGCTTCCCCTCACCTCTGTCCCCTGCCCCTGAAATCCCAGTGACAGCACCCAGATGATGACAGTTGGCACAGGACTGAATGAGGGCAGTGAGTTTCAACACAGCCTTACTGTGGAAACATCTCTCTCCACAGGAGGCAAAAAAAGGCAAAGACAAGAGCAAAAAACCCAAAGGAGAGAAAGGAGACCAGAAAAACGCGGCTTCCAAAGGTGACAGAGGCTGGAGGTGGCGGGACAGAGGGCGGGGTGTGTGAGAGAGCAAACAGGAGCAGGGCCCGGCCACCCTGCCAGCCGCAGGAGCAGGGACTTACTCACATCCTGAGCCTCGGGCTGTGAATGCAAACATTGACTGCGGGGCTCTGGGAATAGACACAGCCCGGACTCTTTACGAGTCGGTGTCTGCACAAGCACCCGGGGTGGGCTGCCAGCTGCCCTGGGAGACCCACACCTACAGCACCCTGTGCCAGGGGACATCGGCAAAGCAGATTTTTGGGCGAGAAAAGTGCTGCCCACTGTGTCGGCTGCCAAATGTGGGCGGTGGCGTGGGCGGGCAGCTGGAAGGGCTGCCTGGGATGCATAATGAGCTCCTCATTCACTGCCAGCTTGCATCTCCAAGCACTTTGCAGAGGGGATTGTTGTTCTCTCTGGTTTGGAGATGAGATGCACAGAGAGCCCCAGGTGCCCCAGCCGGCCCATGGCAGGGCTGGGAACAGATCCCAGTCTGCTGTCACCCACCAAGAGACCACCCTGATCCCTCCAGGTGTGTCCCCTCCCTCCCCAGTGCAGAGCTCAGGGCTGCTCAGCCAGCAGCCTTGCTTAATTTGCCAGAGGCAAACCTCACCCTGCCTCTTGCAGGTTATTTTTCCATCAGTCTTGGTTCTGACTGCAAAAATAGCAGGGCCAGCACATCAGAGGGGTAATGCAAGAGCGGGAGGAAGTGGGACAGGGAAGGGGTAGCCAAGCAATGCTGAAAAGCTGCTCGTGGGTCATCGAGGGCATGGAGAAGGCCAGGCCTCCCAGCACTGCTCAGAGCTACCAAAGGAGCTTTGTTTTCCTGCCCTGGCGTCAGATTTAAGAGTGCAATTAACCCCCAGAGCTCCAGGCTGCTTTCCTGTGCCCTGTCACCCACAGCAAGGTCCCCATCTTTGGGAGGGCTCTCAGAGCTCTGCAGTCCTGGGCTGCATTCACAGAAGCCGGTGGCCTCCCTTAGTGACCTGAAAAGAAGGAAACTCATTGAATTGCTGTCCCCCACAAGAAGATGTGTATTTGCAATGTACACTTAGCCTGTTGCTGAAGCAGGCAGCTGCTGTCAAACAGCTCAGCTTCAGCAGTGGCTGTTCCTTCCTTCCTTCCCTCCCTGGTGTGTGGTCAGTGCGTGCACGAGGTTTCCTTTCAGCTTGAATGAAGGTAAAAGTGCTGTTGTGTGCACAGAAGTTCTGCTGCTGCAATTAGCGATTTGTGCTTAATTTGGTGTCCCCGTGTGCCTGTGCAGGTGGGGGCTGGCTTGGCTGCACTGTGAGGCCACTGAGTGCATAATTCAAAGTGTGAGTGCAAAATTCACAGTGCCTAAAGATGAGCTGCCCCACAGCTCGCTACACCCGCTGTCCCATGGCTGTGACTCACCAGAGCAGCCCAGCTGTGGCTTTTGTGGGGGGCTGCTCGAGCCCTGCTGAGCTCAGTGTCCGCACATCCTGCCTGCCCCGTGAGTCACCAGCTGCTCCGGGGGTGTTTGACACCTGCACATCACCTGGGGACGGCCCTTGGAGCTGTGACAGTGGCCATGCCCCGGGGCACAGGGGATGACTCCCAGCCCAGCAGGGCTGTGCAGGGACCAGCACTCTCACAGCCGGGAGCTGAGGCTGATTTGCATCCCTCGGTTCAGCAAATGCACACAAATAATAAGTCTTCTCAGAGGAATTGGGATCACTTCCAGACTGCTCAAAGAGGAAAGGCAGCGGGCTTTGTCACAAGTGAACCATTTGCCCAGACACTGAAGGATGTCTTCAGAAGTAGTCTCACGTAGGTCTCATTTTACCTCACACTTGATTTTCCAAGATCCTTGAAATAATTTATTTCTGCAGCTTTCTTTTGCCCTAGGGCAATTTCACAACAAAGAGCAAGGCTGCACCCAGGTCAACTGCCAGCCTAAAGATGCTTTTTGGGCTTATCATCCAAAATCATATTCAATTTGCCCTGAAGCCCAGTCACTGCTGACACCCTTGCACGCTGCTGCTTTTAGGATCATTTACTCTCTCAAGACAGTGACAAATGCACTTCTTACCACAGGAAAAGGAAAAAACAAAGACACTGCTGAAGTGGAGGAGGATCAAGAGCCCCAGCCAGTGCCACTGACAGTTCAATTCCAGATGCAGCTGCTTCGCTGGCCCTTGGCAGCCAGCACCCAGAGCCAGGAGAATGTGGCCATGGCAGTGGGGAGCACACAGTGATGTGTCCGTAGCAGGAGCATGAGTGGAAATAAACCACACGGGAACGCTGCACGGAGCCTGGTTTAGCTGAACCGCCAGAGCTGGGAGCTGCCCCGGGGCTCCTGGCTGTCTGTGGCTGGTGCTGAGCTTCTGCTGGAGCTGGAGCGGGCAGGGGATGCTGGGTGGGTGTGCGGGGTGTAGGCTGGGTGTCCGCGCCCGGGACACGCTGCCCCGGTGCCGGTGCCAGCCCCCGCATCCTCCGCCCGGGGCGGGGCTCGGCAGCGCCGGGGCGGGGCGGGGGCAGCTCCCGGTGAATCGCGGAGGGAGCGGAACGGCAGCTCCCGGTGAATCACGGGCAGCTCCCGGTGAATCGCGGAGGGAGCGGAACGGCAGCTCCCGGTGAAGCGCAGAGGAGGCTCCGCAGAGCAGAGCGGGGGTTTTGCCGTGCGGGGTCACCGTGGAGCGGCGGCTCCAGCCCGGTCTGCGCGCCCCGGCGGGACCGGGGGCTCTGGACCATCCTCACCGGCAGCACCGGGTCCCGGTGAGAAGCGGGGGGAAGCACCGAGCCACGTCCCCGTCCGAGGTAAGGTGGGAGGGAACGGCTCGTCTTCATCTGCCTGCCCGGGGCCGGTCCCGCGCCGGATGCTGCCATGTATCCCAGGATTAAAAGCCTGGCGCTTTACACCTTCTCAATCACGCTGCTGGCCTGCGTGCTTTACATGAAGAGGGAGGCGAAGTTGGCAGCATCATCAGCAGAGCAGAAAGTGGATGTGGTGGATCACAGAGTGCAGCCTTCGGTTCTGGACAGCGCTGAGCACAGCAAGTGTTTGCCGAACTTGACCTTTGCCAATTCTTCTCTCTCCCTCCCGGAGCCTCACCGAGTCTTCCTAACCTACAAGCACTGCAGGAACTTCTCGGTCCTGCTGAGGCCTTCCAGGTGTAGCAAAGAGATGTTCCTCCTGCTGGCCATCAAGTCTTCCCCCATCAACGTGGACCGGCGCGTGGCCATCAGGAACACGTGGGGGAAGGAGGCGTCCATCGGGGGCAGGCACATCAGGCTGGTGTTCCTCCTAGGGCGCTCCGAGGCCAAAATCCAGCTGCAGCCCCTGCACCAGCTGCTGGCTTACGAGAGCCAGGAGTTCGATGATATCCTGCAGTGGGATTTTGTTGACGACTTCTTCAACCTGACCCTCAAGGAGCTGCATTTCCTCCGCTGGTTCACGGAGGATTGCCAGCACGCCAGGTTCGTGCTGAAGGGCGACGATGACGTGTTTGTCAACACTTACAACATCGTGGAGTTCCTCCAGGAGCTGGACCCTGAACAGGATCTCTTTGTTGGGGACGTGATCGCCAACGCCCGGCCCATCAGGAACACCAAGGTCAAATACTTCATTCCAGAGCCCATGTATGGGGCCACCTTCTATCCTCTCTATGCAGGAGGAGGGGGATATGTGATGTCTAGAGAGACAGTGCGTCGCCTCCAGAGCACCGCAGAGGACATGGAGCTCTTCCCCATAGATGATGTGTTTGTGGGAATGTGTCTGGCAAAGATGTCAGTGACCCCAAAGAACCACGCTGGCTTTAAGACTTTTGGGATCCAGAGACCTTTCAACCCTTTTGATCCGTGCTTGTACAAAGAGCTGATGGTTGTGCACAGGCTGAACCCAACGGAGATGTGGATCATGTGGACGCTGGTGAAGGATGACAGCATTAGGTGTGCAGTGTCAGTGACACACAGCTACAGCAGGGGCTGGAAAAGGAGCTACTGATGAGCCCAGGGACTGTGGCTGGTGACAGGGTACTTAAACTAAAAATCAGGTTGTGGTAGAAACACGTCCGTTACTAACAGACTGCACTGGAGCTGTGGTTTGGTTTGCAATGAGTCTTTTTCTGTTGGGGGTTACTTGAAGCAGTTGAATTGTCACAGGGTGGGGGTGTGGTCAGTGGCTTCCCAGCCAGACTGTGCCAGGGGAAGTCACAAGTGCCACCTACACTGCTGGCCAAAGTCAGTCTCATGTGGGACAGCCAGCGATGACGAAGAAGTGACAGAGCATTTGAAATTTACTTGAAGGCATGGAAGAAAGGCCAGTATGTCCTGCTGGGTCTGCTGTGCCAGGGCAGCAGCCCCACAGCTCCTACCATACAGCAGGAGAAAGGGAATGGAGAGGGGAAGGAAGAGCTTCAAAATCCATGGCCTTAAGACAGCAGTGATGATGATCTGGGGGACTGGGCTCAGCCTCCAGCCCTTTGGCTTTTGCAGAAACTCACAAAGGTTTACATGCACTAGAAACTTTAGCACAAACACTTTCTGATCTGGTTTGAGAGGAGCCACGTGTTTTCAATAATCATGGTGGTAGGAAGAGTGGCTGTAGCTTCCCATGTTGTGTGGGAGGTGTTTGGTTCATTGTTGTTGTAATGTTGTGTATAAATAAAATACTTTTCAAAAGTATTTACATGGGAATATTCTTAGGTCTTCTGAAAGCTAAGAGCCCTAAAAGCCAGGGAAGGCTGAGACCTGGTGCTGGGTATTTGCATTAAAGAGGAAAATGTTAGTGGAAATGGATATTTGCCACTTCTTTTTTGTGAGCTGTTCTCTGCCCTATTCAGACAAGATGCACTGACACAAAAGTGATAAATCTGAACGTGCTGGAGTTGTTAATTTGAGAAAAGATCAAATATAGGACTAAGTTTTGGTGGTTTTTTTTTTTTTTTGTGAAGCTTATCAGTATCTTGCTGCTAGAGCAGGAGCTGTGGATGAGCAGGAAGCAGCCTGGAAGCCTTAGGGGAAAAAACAAGCAAATGAGTAAAGAGGAAGTGTGTGATTAGAGCGAGCAGAGTCCTTTGTGCTGTCTGTCATTGCTCTCTGTAGTGCCAGCTGCCCAGCATCCATCCCCCACCAGATGGGAGCTGGAGCTTTCAGAAGTGCCTAGGAAGTGCTGCCAGGAGGCTCCTGCTTGTCCTACGGGCAGGGACACCCTGAGAGCAGAGGTGAGGGAGCTCTCAGTGGGATGTTGGGGGACTGCTGGTAGGATGTGCTCCCCTGGCCCTCTGGAGCACCTGGGGTAGCTCTGGCTGAGCCCCAGGGCTGACCCAGGCTCTTGGGGCAAAGGTGCCACCTCACAGGAGCTGTTTCTGTGCCAGGTGTGAGAAGGGGTTTGTCTCAAAGAATTGGTGGGTGTCCATGCTCAGGGTGGTCTTGTGCAAGCTGTTACTGTGTTTTCTGGCTGCAGCTCCAACAGGGTGTCTTTAACTGTAGTTGAGAAAGTGCCTGTGTGTAGTTTCAGGTGTGTAAACAAGGCTGAGTGTCAGCAGCAAGCCCAGGTTCTGGGCACTGGGCTCTGCTGCTGGTCCTGGAGAGGAGACTGCACAGGGCAGGCACCGTGGTGCCCTGTGAGCTGCTGTGCCAGCACTTTTGTGATCCACTCGATGATTCCCAGTGCAAACTCAGGAGCACAGAGCATGATGTCCTGTCTGTTGTGGGCTTAGGTGTGTGGGCTAACCCCCAGCTGGCAGCTCTCACTTCCTGACAAAGGTGAGGGACTCCTTTCTGCCCTATTTTGGGGTGATTTGTGCTCCTCACCCCCACTTTGACTTGGCTGCACTGCCTGGTTGGTTCCAGGCATGTTGGGCTGGATGTGTGTGGGAAGAGCTCTCGAGCAGAAAAAGCAGTACGTGCAGTGAAACAAGAAGTGGGGTCACAGCAGGGCTGGGAGCAGGCCCTGAAAGGGGAAGAGGGACTTTCCTGGCTTAGCAGGCTCCTGGCAGTGCCATGCAAACATCTGAGCAGGGTTACTGTGGCATCCTGAAAGGTACACAACTTGTTTGTGCACTCGGGTCAGGGCCTTGGCGGATGTTCTTCAACTGCACCAGGTACCAAAGGCGAGCAGCTGTGGTTAGAGGTTGACCTGAGACTGCATCTGGCTCCTGAGGGCTCAGCTGTGCCACCACCCCAGTAATCCTCTCATCACAGGTGGTTTTTCCCCCCTAATGCTCCAGCCCAGAGCAGACATGGGCAGCTCCCTGCAAGCTGAACTCCAGACTGTGCCATCCTCCTTGGATACAGCAGCACCCAGTGAGCAGCAAGGAAAGATGGTTTGGTAATTTTCTTTTTACTACTTAATCTATAAATGAACAGTGCTGTGTGCCTGAGATTGCATTTGTTCCAGAGGCAGCCAAAATGAGCCATCTTTTATGCTGCAGGTAAGAAAATTCAGGCACAACTCAATTTAGTAACACCAACCTTGATACAGATACATCAGATGCTAATCTGTGGTGAAAAAGCTTTGATTAATGTGTGATTTCTTACACAACCTGGCAGATAGGGATCCAATCATCAGTGATAAAGTTCAAGTGGATGCTGTTCTACAAAGCAAATTTCACACCAGCTGTCAAGTTAGGAAATTAACAGTGAAGGACACCCATGGTTTTGAAACCTGCAGTGAAACATTAAGCTTGCAAAATAAATAATTAAGATTATTTCCTGAAACTTGCATTGGGAAGCATTCAAATATGTAAAACTCTTTTGCTCAGTGCTTTGTAGAACAGTACACAGCAGCTGCCAAAACAATTTTGTTTGTAAGTACAGTATACTGAAAATCAAACTTCCCCATTGCTTCCTGGGGAACCTCCCCCAGAGGTGATTCTGGGTGAAATAAGTTGCCGTGCTGAAAAAAACTGCACCAAGAGCCTGGGTGACTCCATGGGAAGTTCTCAGCTCCAGAGCAAATATTTCCCCTGACTGCAGCTCTGTAATTTGGTGCAGCTGCCAACTCAGAGGTTAAAAACTTTTAAATTCAAATAGAAAGCAAGGCCTAATTTCTTGCCCAAATGGCCACACCCACAATGAGCTTTTGCACAGTTTAATAGAGGCATCTCCTCACAGACATCATTTACCTCACAGGTTAAAAACAAGGATTTTTAAATACACTTCTCTGGCTGATCCCACAAACACACCAAGGGAGCAGCAGGACCCTCCAAGCAGAGACACAATTACCACCAGGCCATCCCTGATAACAGTCTTCACATTTGCATAGATAAACATTTAAATAAATGAATCCAAAAGTATTACAAACAAAGTAAGTTACAAACAAAACTGAAGCCTTCCAAATACCTGATTTGCAAAGCAATCCTTTTTTGGGAGGAGGGAAATATGGAATCACAGGCTTATTTCAGCAGTTTTACACTATCCCACACTTCAGAGCTTGGGACTGTTCCATTTGTGACTGACCCTAAGAGCTCAGTTCTGCTCAGTCCTCCCGAAGGTAAGGGTCATCATCTGAGTTCCCTAAAACACCCTGTGGCAATGAGGAGTCCTCTCCTCGGGCTTTGATGAGCTCATCTGTCTGAGCTTCAGCTAGTTTGGTCTCTGCTTTCTGGGACAGCAGCCTCACCTCCTGCACCTGGGACTTCAGCACCTGGATGTGGCTGCGGGCTGTCACCGAGGCCTGGTCTGCACCTGCAGGGAAGGATTGACACCCTGGGTCACAGGAGCACAACCTGGGCAAACCTTCAGCTGAGGAAATGGAAGGGATCATCATCTGCTTTGCTGTGTGGTGAGGGCTCTGGGGCTGTATAAATGCATTTACTGTTCATTTACCTCAAGCCTTTTGTCTGCTTTGAGGTGTCACTGCTCCCTTGAATTCTCCCATCTTGGTGGGATACAGCTGGGGTTGGACAGGAGGGATCACCTTGTGCCAGTGGGTTTGAGAGCTGAGCCCAGCCCAGTCCCTGCCAGAACCTTTCAGTCCCCATCCCATCCTGGCACCTACAGCAGTGGGAATACCTGTGGCACTGCTGAATTCCCACCATTCTCCTCCCATGCTCCCACAGGTTTCTGGATCTTCTCCAGGCACTTACAGAATTAGGGTGTCTCTGTATATTCACTGCTTTCCCTCCCTTCTCCCCTCCAGTAACTCTGCCCATTTACCACAAGCCAGTCCATAACTCAGTCTCAGAGCTCTCAAATCTCTCCAGGGAGAAAAAACCAAAATTAGTGTATTTGCCTTTTTTAATATAACTAAATCCAGCTGGAAATTCCTCCTGGATTCATAGGCAGCCTTGGTTCTGTGGCTCCCAGGACCGTGTTTGAGCCTTGCATTTAAAAATAACGGAACTTTTCTCTCAGACATTTTTGGCCATCTTAGTCCTGACCTAAACCACAAGTGAAGTTTCCAGGCCTAGCTCTCAGAATGCATCTACAGACTCGCAGCCTAAAGCAGAATGTACGTGCTCAGCACCTCTAAAAAGCAGGCACCAGCTGTCAGCTGTGGTGTTAACTGAGTGTACACTGTGTGTCTGAACTGGGCTGAGAGAGGGACAAGGGGCAGAGGGACAAGGGGCAGAGGCTCAGTGCTGCTGCTCACCTGACTGATACGCGGCCTCTGCCGCCATCTCCGACAGCCGCAGCGCTGTCATCCAGCTGGACTCCAGCCTGAGGTACTCCTGCTGCTTGGTGGTCATCTGGGAGAAAGAATCAACAAGGTGTAACACACCTGGAAGCTCTGCTGAGCTGTGAGAGGCAGATGGTGAGGGAGGTTGGTTTGCTCACATCCACTCTGGCTCCTATGACCACCTGCCAGACCGCATCCACCTCTTCCGAGTTCATTTTCCCAAGGAGATTTGAGTATTGCTTGTAGAGAGACACCAGGGTATAAATTGCCTGTCAAGGAATCATTTTGCACAGTTACCATGACAGCCTGCACAGCTCTGGTGTTGGCTCAGTATTAATTAGCAAAATTACTCTCCATACACTTGATCTACTGACAAGGATGAATGCAAATACTTTACTCAAATTGGCACTTTATTTGCAAAATTAAAACTGTGTCTTCTTGTTTCAGACTTCAGTATGGCTCAAGACATTCTTCTGATGGAACTCAGTTCATGGTCTTAGAAAGGCTGAGAAGGGCAATAAAATGCCCAAGAACAGAGAGCTCAGTACACAGGTAATACAAATAACCGATATGAGTTTCTTCAGCCCCAGCTCTGAGTTTCAGGGTCATTTTGCCTAAGTAAAAAAAGGGACTTCTTAAAAGAGCATGGAATGACAGGACAAGGGGAATGGATTCATGCAGACAGAGGGCAGGGTTGGATGGGATGTTAGGGAAAAATTCTTGGCTCTGAGGATGGGGAGGCCCTGGCACAGGCTGCCCAGAGAAGCTGTGGCTGCTCAATCCCTGGAGTGTCCAAGGCCAGGTTGGACGGGCCTTGGAGCACCCTGGGACAGTGAAAGGTGTCCCTGCTCATTGGACTGGATGAGCTTTAAGATCCTTCCAACCCCAAACCATTCTGGGGCTGTCTAATTTTAACCCAAAAGCAACAGTTTAACAAAGCTAAAAGTAACTTCCGCATCTGGTGTAGAACAGTGACCCCACAGCTCCCGAGGGACCTGACATCTTCAACCCTCCTCACTTTGGTTAAATTAATTTTGCAAAAGCCCATTTTGAGTGTGGTTTTAGGGGTGCAACCAGTGGCAGAGCAGCTGGCAGTGCCAGCAGTGGGGGGTGCCAGGTGTGGGGCTCACCTTGGTGTACTCGGTGAGCGCCTCGATCAGCGCGTACGTGGTCTGGGAGAGCAGCGTGGCCGTGCTGTCTGTCACCAGGGACACGGCTCTTCTGATCAGGGCATCATTGCTGAGGGACCCTGAGCTCTGCTGCTGCAACACAAGACACCTGTGTGACCCTGTGTGACCCTGTGTGACCTGGCCATCGCCCTCCCCACGGACAACACGCAAACGCAACAATTAGGAAAAGCTGCGAGAGCCAAACTCTCCCTGAGGATGCAACCCGAGGGGAGAACCAGGACAGGCAGGTGGGTTTGGGTGTTAAACTGGTGCAAGGAGGGGGTGCTGGGGGTACCTCCACGACGGGGACAGCGCACAGGGCCACCCCCAGCCCCACAGCCTGGTGCCACTGCCCGCTCCTGCCCGCGAGGCCTCGCTGCCGGACGCTGGCCAGGACAGGGAAGCTGCGCCTGGAAAAGCAAGAGGCAAAGTTTAGCAGCAGGAACATCCCAGTGTGGGGTGGGAAATAGAGGCAAAGTTTAGCAGCAGAAACATCCCAGTGTGGGGTGGGAAACTGGGATCAGTGAGGAGAAGAACACCCAGAAGCTGTTCAAGGGGAGCTTGTCTATGCCAGGTTTTTGTGATGCAGCTGCGTGACAGCGGATGAGTAAGTTTGTTTCAAATTTTGTATTATTGTTTAATCATAAGTGCAAGAAAAGGCAAGCACAGTTATTAGTGCAATATTAATACTTCCAGAGAGAAAATGTATGTTAGCTGGTATGGGCACATTACTGATAGTCAATAATACTGGAAAATAGGTTAAGAAACATGCTTAAAAGTGGTGTGTGGTACATGCAGGTGAGAAATGTGACACGTTTGTTACAATCCAGCGACACTTGGGTCTCTGTGGGCAGTTTTATTTACAACCCAAGCTGTGTAAATGCCCTGGGGTCAGGGTCTATCACGGAAATACTCGAGCGGAAAAACAGAAGCACAGAGCAATGACAGGATTTTTTGTTGTTCTACAGCAATTTAATGAAAACAACCGGTGCATTTTCCTTCCTGTATGCCGCGTACTCTTTAGCCTACAGCCTGCGGGTGGGGAGCGCGGTGCGGGCAGTCCCCCTCAGCCTCTCCCCCCGGCCCGCCGCGGTACCTGAGCACGGAGCAGCAGCTCCGCAGCCACCGCCCGCCCGCCGCCATCTTGGCCCGCCCGCCCGGCGCGCGGGAAGTGACGTCATCCAGCGCACCTGAGTGGGCGGGGTTGGGTGGGCGGGGCCGAGCGCCGCGCGTGCGCAGAGCGCGGGCGCGTGCAGAGGGCGGGAGCAGCGCGTGCCGGGCCGTGAGGGCAGCGGCGGGAACGTGAGGGGAGCGACCTGGAGATGTCCCCGGGGGTGTCCCCGCGGCCCCTCCGCCGTCACGACCCTGTGGAGCAGCCCCGACACCTCCTCTGTATTTCGCCGGTATGCCCAACATCAGAAATAGGGTCAGAAATAGGCAACAATTTACCCAGCTGCTGGGAGTGAGAAGGAGATCATGAAACATTGTTACAAAACGTGGAATGTGTAAAAATTCTCTTTAGAACGGGTTGTTCTTTGGTCTTTGGTTCTGTGGCTTTCAAGCCGGATAAGAATATTTCATCTGTGAAACAGAGCAGCCAACAAGCTTTGAGTGATGTCCAGGTGTTAGAAAACCAGATTACTTGGTGGTGGAATGGCCTTGATAAGGTTTTAGGGCTTGGTGTGTTTTAGTGATATTAGATTTGGGAAAGGTGAACAAAGCTTGGGAAGAAAGATTTGGACAAAAGGAATGTGGAACTTAAGGGTCATGAGGACATTGGGCAGAACTCCCCAGATAAGGAAGAAATTGAAAAATCCAACTTTGTTTCTGTGTCAAGCAGCTCCATTGGGTAAAAGGGAATTCCAGCAGGGCCAGATTGTGACCACCATCTCAGAGACACCAGTGCTCCTCACAGCCCTGGTTTAATTCATCTTTATTGTTCTAAAGTACACGATGCTGCTTTGATTTTGGGTAGTTGCATGCTAGTGATAATCTCCACCTTCTCCACCAAAGGTTTCCTGTGCAATTCCACACAAAACGGCCTTAATCAATTAAATATATTCTTTTTAGTTATAGCAGGAATTCCTGTTCTCTCTCCTGTTTTCAGAGACTGAGTCAGCACAGGTGACTTTACTGAGGCAGTGCTGTATCACACATTTTTCATCTAACTCCATGCTTTGAACATTTGTTCTAAAGCCTGGCACACCTGAAAGCACCAGGTAACAACTCTGTACCTTGTAAAACTGTAGGGAGAGGGGAACATAGTGCTGATCTGAAATGTCTTTTTCCAGAACTTCTAAAACAAATTACAAGTAATTTCTGTGTGTCTGCCTTCACACCCTTAATGAGGCAGAGCAGGACAAGGCAGGACTTGTTTGTTGAGATGTTGGAGTGGTGTTGCATCCCTGCCATCCCCTGTGTTGTGCTCAGCAGGGTGGGAATCTCAGGAGAAAACTGCCGGGAGGCTTTTAAATAGTTCAGAGTCCAGGAGACACAAAGAATCTGCGAGAGCCACAAGGATCTGTAAAGTGCATGCACAGGGATACCTTTTCTCTTTTAACCTTTATTGTTTTTACACAGGAAAAGAAGAGCGCGGTGAGGCAGCGAGAGCACAGAGCTCCTGCAGGTTCGGCGCAGGGGGAAGGCGCCTCCATCCCGTGTGCGGAGCTGTGCCCTGGAGCCGGCTGCCTCTGGAAAGGCCGTGGGAGCAGGAGCAGGGGCCGAGCCCTCACTTGAGCACCAGGAAGTAGGTGGTCCAGCCGGCCAGCAGCAGCGCCCCCAGCAGCACCGTGTAGCTGAACAGCACGAAGGCCAGCAGCTCCCGCAGCACCTTGAGGAAGTGGATGGCGAAGGAGTCCGGCATGGCTCTCCCAGATCCCTGGGGCTGGCTGCTCCCTGCTCCTGCCGCGCCTGGAGCAGAGGAACAAGGTGAGTCCTCGCAGCAGGGACAGCAGCCTGCCACGGGGAGAACTCCTGTGACCACCTGAAGGTTGTTAGTGACTGGTGTGGGCCTGTTCAGAGCCCTGCCGAGGTGGTGAAAAAACGTTTGGGATCTGATCAAAGTGTCCAGATCAGGACTGGTGAGGAAGCAGCTGGAAATACAGAGCCAGGCAGCGGGCACGGCCATGGGGGTGAGGCTGGGGGTGTTGCAGAGTCCAGCTGCTGGCTCCTGGGATCTGTCCCCTGGGGCTGTGCCTCCAGGAAGCGCCAGGATCAGAGAGGCCGCTGATGGTGCATTACCAACAGCCTGTTCTGATCAAAGTGGTCAATTCCTCCAAGGAAGCCACCATTAATATTTAATTCTATAATTGCATCTAATGGAGGGACTGGCACAAACTGAGCCTTTTGTTTAGGAATGACGAAAACTGAGGCTTAAATACAAGTTTGCACAGGCAAATATTTATATCTTGTGTTAAAAATAACCATTAATGGGAGGCATGGGATAAGATGCCTTAGAATTAATCTTCTAGCAGTATTGTATAGTCATATGTACACATTGCTTTGGAAGTGATTGCTCATTTGTTACTTTAAATTAAATCTGAACTTTTCCCCTAAAGTCACTGCCTTCTTAGATTTGAAGCTGTGAAAACCCACCTCAAACATTCTATTATCTCTTTAATTTACGTGTTCTTTTAAATTTTGATTGCAACAGTGCCTGATCAACAATATTGACGCTCTTGGTCAAGCACGAAAAGGGAGTTTAAAATCAGACTTAGGATAAAAACTAACCCACAAGGATTATTTCTCTTCTGAACAGCCTAAAGCCAGATAAACTAGACTGAATTCCTGTCCTGCTGCTTGGAATGTTTTTTAAAGAGCACTTCTGATAAGGAATTCACTTTTTGGTGTTGTTTAACAAGTTCAGCCATTCCATTCCAAGCTCAGGCACCTGTATACAGTACAGGAGTTACAGCATTTTAAAACCAGTTGTGGTTTCTCTGTTCAGAGCCTTACAGATTTCTGTCCATAGGCTGTGTGAGATTGCTGGTTATCAGAAAGATGCTGAGAAAGAAATAAAACTGCTTACCCAGGCAGATGACGGGCTCCGCTTCGGCAAGTTCGTGTTCCTCCCTAGTTTTGTTCTGCAGCTGTCCCTTTTGCAGGGTCTGTGCTGTAGGCTGGTCCTGCTGTGATCCAGGAGCAGAGTGAGTGTGTGTGTGTGTGTGTGTGTGTGTGTGTGCAGCCCACACCAGGACTGAGCTCTAGGTGTGGTCAGCACCGGTTATGATCCGACAGCGCCGTGGTGCTCGCGGTGCTCGGAGCAGCCAAACACTCCCCTTCCCCTGGGGGCTTTGGCAACAGCACTTCCAGAGTTCCAGTGCCAGGGCTTGGAGTCACCAAAATCTGCATTTGTTGAGATGTGGGGTTTGCCTCTAACAAAACCTTGTGTCATCTTACACGTTTTGTTTTGTTATCTCAAAGGCTGCAGTGCCTCTTGCTCTGTTCCCTGAGTGCCCTGTGCTCTGTCAGCCACTCAGGGGAGGAGGATGCTCACACACAGCTGGGCTCATCCCCAGGGTGGGGCTGTGCAGGCTGAGCCAGGAGCTTTTACCAACAGTCAGCGAGGGCTGAAGGCAGCCTAATCCCTGCATGGTCCCCTGCAGGGTCACTGCTGTAGTGTCACCCTTACCCTCCCTCCCAAGGAGTCATCCCAACCTTTTAGAGCTGAAATGATGCAGCTCCTTTGCAGTGAGGGGAGGAGGGAACCAGGCTCTATGTTTATTCTTAGCAAAACTGCTTCTGATAATGTATGAAAAGTGAAAGTGGAGGGGTTACAGGTTGGGTAATATTTTCTTTTTTTTTTTTGGTAGTAATGTAGACAGCAGAGAAGGAAGATTATGTACTGCAAATCAAATCTCTTACCTACAAAGATATTATGATGTAGAAAATGGTCCCTTAATTTAATTAGGTTCTCTTGTTATCAAATTATTACCCACATGGTCAGCAGGGCCTTGGACAGAAGCAGAACATCATCAGCTGCTCAGGAAGCCTGTTAGATAGTAATTGCTCCTCCAGGGAATTGATCAGCGTCAGGATGGCTTTTATTTTCTTGTTGAATAGTTCCAGGAAGAGGCTTTGGCTAGGTGGAGGGGTTACACAGTTCTAGTGTAGGCTGCAATGTTGGTGGTGATTTCAGAGTTTACCAAGTGTCTGGTGTAAACTCTTAACCAAAAAAAGTTTTGCCTGTAGTGTTACTGATTGCTGGCCAGGGAAAGGTGAGCACTAAAGGTGAGCCACTCTGTGTTTTCCTTTATTCACCTGTGGTGTAGCTCAGAAACCAGCCTGGTCAGTATTTCCTTGGGATTAGTTCAACTGTTAAAATTTAATTTTAAAAAATCTGGAAATTGTGATACTACAGAGACCTTTCAAGGCCAACCCAAGGACACTCTTGTTGCTCTGAGTCAACTTCTTGTTTTTCTCTGCACAGTAAGATCTAATTTTTGATCCAAGCTTAATTCAATTTTCCTTTTAAATACTCTGAAATTAGCTACTTTAAATGGAACTTGCAAAGCAAACAATCCATGTTTGCTCTTGCATCACAGGTTGCACCATGTTTTTTGTTAAGTCTGTCTACAAGCTGCCTTCCCACCTGAAAAAGGAGGTCTCCACTGACTGAAACTGTATTTTTCTTCAAAAGTTCAGAAATTCCACTTCTAATGTAGTATTACAGGTGGCAGAACAAAATTAAATTTTATGTGAGCCTTCATTAAAAAACACCTGGGTGTTAGAAAAAGAGTTTCAACTTAAGTAACTCAGTTATCCATTTATCCTGGGACAGGGAGACATGGACACAGCTACTACAGTGCAGAGTTTTATTTTATTTTTGTATTCTAGAGAAAGAGAGAGTGCAAACACTTCCAAACAAAGATTAAATACATCTTTATTTAATGTCATTTAATAAGTCAGCTGGAGTTAAACAGAGAGAGGGGCTCCATGGAGGGTCTGACTTGGTGGACTTCAGTCTTAGAAAATAAAACAGATCAAAACCCACAGTCACAACTGTGACAACTTGGAAAAACTGAGGGATTTATTGGGCCATATTATACATGATAACTAAGGCAGTAATGTTTGCTAAGAGAGTGATTTCAGGGGAGGAGTGGGCTTTTTTTTAGTTGTGTTTAAGAGTGAACTGCAGCATGGAAGAGTCCCCAGTGGCTGTGAGGACACCGACAGTGCCCAGCACAGGCACCACCACAGGCCCTGCTCTGCCTTGCCCTCTGCAGCCAGGAGCTGCCTCTTGCACAAAGGGCCCAGCCACCAGGCCCGTGGAAAATTCCATTTTACAAGTTTGAGCTCTACAACAGCTTGTGACAGCAAGTACCACAGTTTATAACCTGAACAGGAGGTGAAGAAAGTGTCTGTTTAGAACCCACTGTTTACTGGGTCCCTGCTCTTGCTATTTTTGGCCCTCACACAGGGAGTGTTTGTGTGTCTTCAGCCATAAACTCAGGACACACTGATGTCATTCATACTCTGGAGGAGCTTTCCAGAGTCAGGTGGGTGTACCCAGGACAAAGGAGTCACCTCACAGTGATCCCTTCAGGGGACAAGTGAAGGAAAAGGCTCGAGGATCACAGGCACAGCTGTGTACAGATCTCTGACTGACACAGCCAATGCACCCATGGAATGGATCAGGCACCAGAGAGAGACAAACAGTCTGGGAACACTGCTATGAAGTCAGGAATAGAGAACATCCTGCCTCCTCAGCACCTTAGCAGGGTAAAAGCAGAAATCACATCTCCCACCAAAGCTAAACTGAAAGAAAAAAAGCAGCAATTTGCCACAGAGAAGGACCAGGGCCCACTCCTGCTGCCCCAGGCCTTGGCTGCCAGGTCAGACCATGAGCAGGGATCTCTCTCTTCCCCACTGTTTATCATTAATGCCTTCCAACCCTGCTGGTTTCCTTGGCAGTTCCACAGACAGCTGGAACACAAGTGCAGAAGGGATGAGGGTCATGAGCTGGTCCCAGGAGAGCTCCCTTCACTACCGTGCTTCTCCAACAGAGCAGCTGTGCCAGCTGTGTCACACAGGGCCTCTCACATGCACTGTCTCTCACCACACCCCCTAGAAAGGGGCAGGCTCCAGTTTCTCCATCAAGGATTTGATCCAGGTTGTGCCGTTGATCAGTTTTGTAGTGGCAATGATGTACTCTGTGCCCCCATCCTCCATCTGCGACAGGAACCTCAGCGCGGCGATTTCTGCGTACGTGACCCCGCCCAGGAAGAACACCAGGGTCACTCTGTTCTCACCGTGCTGACCTGTGGCTCCACAAAAAAGGTCCAGGTTGGCTTGGTTTGATTTTTACAGCTCCCCTGCATCAACTGTCAGTCAAACTCAAATGACCTGAATTAGAGGCTGGGACATAGAAATCCACAGTCTGCTCCCAGGATGTTTCTGTTTGAGACTGATGCTGACCCTCTTGCACATAACATTACTTACCAACATCGCAGTGTAAGTTTAGGGTTTATTTTAGTACTCTGATGAGAAGTTAAACCATTTGTCAAAGGAGAGTTAGGTCTATCTAACACTGCTGTGGGACAGGGGGATGACAGAGAGACCTGGACTCTGCCTGCCCTGATTTCAGTTTGCCTCACTCCCTGCTCAGACAGACAGACAGACATATTTTCCTGTAAAGCACAGGAAAACAAACCCAAACTTACGCTTTTTCTGCAGGCCAGTGGGGAGCTGCTGCCTCTCCTCGAAGTGGGGCCCTGGCAGCATCTTCAGAACCTCCTCGATGCTGCGCCAGCCCGGCCGGGCCAGCAGCTGCGCCAGGCGCACGCTCAGCGGGGCGTAGCCGCTGTACACGTACGAGATGTCATTGGGGTTCTGGGGGACACAGACAGAGGCAGGGGACAGCACGTCAGTGCTACCTCATGCTGCAAAACAGCCTCAAGGAAATCA